GTTCTCCCGTACGAATTTAAAACAAATATAGACAACAGGATTTCTCGACGGATTTTCGACTGCATCCCTACGTTGTATGAGTCAGATAACAGTTAGAAGCATACAACACATTGAATTTCACATAAGTCCAATGTACAACATCAAGAGTCACAATTCAGTGTAAAATGAAGAAGAAAATGCGATCGCTGGATCAATAATTTTATTTTTCTGACATTTCGGATTCTTTCGAGAATCCTTAACCATAGGTAACCGTAGGATGCTGTGAGACATGGGCAGATTGGAGGGATATGTGCACAGATTTCGCCGTATTTATATTTCGAAGCGGCCATCCGCATGCATACTATAATTACCAACTCCTGTAACTATCGCTTGAGGTCGAAACTGGTGCGATGATGGCTTGGCAGTTCGCTTGCGAGTTAACGATGGCCGCGATTTCATAGTCCGTGTCGGGTGTGGGCTTGTTAATTGCGCGACAATTATATTTACTGTCGTCAGAGGTGTTGCTGGACCCGGCCCTTCCCCTGTGAGTGATTCTCATAATCAGGAAATCTCTCGGTACGCAGTATGGGAACGGCAAGGCGTTGCGCTTGTTGATTGACTGTCGGCCTGCAAACCATGACTCGACCACCTCGCGGTTGTCACCCCTTGTGAGGATTTCGACCTCGTTGAACTTAAAAATATGGTCGGGTCCCGCTAAGTGAGCTGCAACTTGTAAATAAAGATCAACTGAAGGAAACTACATTAAATCAGCCTATAGGGAGAAAAGGGGGGAGGAAGTTAGTGCAATCCAATTCGTGATTAAAAGTAGCCGCCCAATTACCAAGATAATTGGAGATTGACGGCGTGGTCTAGCTGCTTGCACAGGTCGGTTTCTCTGTTTCATCGTCCGGCAGCGTGACCATCCATGGAAGCCTCATCAGCTCAATTAAACCCTAGAGCCTCCAAATTATCCTGCCCGTTTTACCCCCACATGTGCAAATTACGCAAGTTCCTCCCCAAATGCATCGCGCAGAGACTGGCGAACCTGCACAGGCGCACCAACGTACATCCAACGCCCCAATCTCCAATGATTTGCACTGTCTACGCATATATTCAAACACCGCATGCGCATATTAAACTGCGTACGTCTACACAAAAAATGTGTGACAGACTGCCACCATCTAGTCCCCGCCTCCGCTCTTCTCCCTGTCATCACGTACATCGTACATGACCCAACCCAGCATCAAAAAACGCAGACTGACAAACAACACCTGCCACGTGAGGTGTAGGTGGTTGTAACGGTGACAGGCTGATATGTCCTCGTCTGATAACGCCTTATTTAAATCCCCTGGGAATGAACACAACAACAAGAGCGTAAAATTACAAGTTACCCGAATGAGGGTTTTACTGTGTACAGAATCCGCAGTTACGGTCTCGGGTGACAGTGGCCGCGGCCGAAGCCTAGGCTGATGGGTGGACTGCGTCCAGTCACGTCTGGGGGTGTCTGCACGTCTCATACAAGTCTGATACAAATGCCTTTGTAAGATGTGACAAGCGAGTTCAGGTGTTGCGTGATTGGTGCGTTGGATTACTCGAGGGATGTCGAGTATTGAGGTCACATACTGTGTGGCCGCTAGGTGACACGTTCACATGTGCTCGCGTGTGTGTGTGCTGACAAGTAAGCCGTGTTCTTGCTCCTGTTCTCGTTCTCGTTCTCTTTTGTGCCTTTCGCTCTCCTTCGCTCTTTCTCATTTTCTTTCACTCCTCTCTGTTTTTCTCTTTATCCATTCACTACCTGCCCTTTCTATCTTAGTCTTTCTAGCTTTCTCGGTCTGCTTTCGTTCCTCTCACCCTCTCTCTCTTTCTCTTCCTCCATCTCTTCTTCTTCTTCTTCTTATTCTTCTGTGCACCCACGATTACAAGGTTCACCAGCTTGTTTCTCTCTCTCCATTTTCTTCAGCCCCGCCCACGGACGCCAACCGGCACCGGAGTATGAGTACTGCCTATCAGTCGATGACTGAACGGTTACCCGGTCTAAGAAGGGTGTTTGCCAAGGCTTTGCGCAGGGCTACTCTCACCCTTCTGAGATTCAACGTCTGTATGCATATGCAATGCCAGACTTCGGCAAACCACGGTACCTGCGGCTTAGTAGGCGCTGGCATTTTCTCTCGGTTCTGATACTCTATCAGTGCATGCGTTCGCGCTCCAACTGGGTTTCGGGCACCAGCTCAGGTGTCCGAGTAGCTAGGAGGTCGCTAGATGGTGGGGGAGAGGGTGAGGTCGACCCTCGGCGCGTTTCTCTCCTCACTATACTAAATCTGAATCAGTTTGAATCTATCACGGTGCGCTAAAAGCCGTGGCTTGGAGGGTTTGCCAACTGTCGGAAAACTCGGGCCCCCTACGTTGCTGCTCCTCTTGTACGCGTGTGTTTGTGTGGTCGTATGTAAGAAAGTGGAGGACTGAGAGTCAGGATGCAATAGCTCCTTCTGAATGTGGCCTTTTTGGCGTTCTTGCACACGCGGGTGCCTACCTAGCGAGATTTCTGGAGTCAAGTGTGCGCACGTTGAGTTAATACCGCGCCAGCCACCTACACCCTATCTCATCTATGGTCTTACTAACTCTGTCTTTACACCGAAAACGGAGGTGGCAGCGGCGAGCGAGTGGGCAGATTCCCCACGACTCTGCTTCAAGTCTTGCTTTCATTCGCGATAATTCGCTTCGTTGCTTCAGCCTGCTGTAGCCTTCGTGCAGCTTGTCCAGCTTGCTTTGGTGTCTGCCTCGACTCGTTTCAACGTCTGCTGCGGACTGTTGGAGCACGCGGCCGCCCATCGTCGAACTCGATGGTGGAACTGTCGTCTGTGCATGTGCGAGTGAA